GTCTTATGAGAATATTTAACTAATTTTTTACTTAAATATAAACCCTTGTGCAAACAAGATCTCTTATAATAGTATAATAGTATTATTATTTAAATAAGACAAGATTTCTTACATTAATATTTAATTTTAACTTATTCTTCAATATATAAACCCTTGTCCAAACAAGATTTTTTTTTATAATATTGTTTAAATAAGGCTGGTACAACAAGACAATATTTCTTATATTAATATTTAATCTATATCTATATATATATATATATAAAAAAAGATTTACCATTTTTTTAAAATGGCACGTCAACTCTTTGGTCAAAACCTGTGGCATTAATTACATTCCATTTTTAGTAATTTTTTTATATTATTTTTTAAAAAATCGGCAACAATAAATGCTATCCCAAATTGTGACTTTGTTACTTATTTTCTTTACGGAAAATCGAGCAACCGCATGTGTTGGCCTTAAAATTGGAATTTGTTACATTATCCAATGAAGTGACTACAATTTTAAAATTACTTTTGGAAACATCATTTTTCACCAAAACTTGTTGCTGGTTCAATATATTGTTTGACAATTTTTAACTTTTAATTTGTAATGGCTAATGCCATTTAATATTGGTATTAATTAATAAATCACATCCATGTATCTAAAAATATGAATAGTAATGTTAGTGTTAATTAATTAATCACATTTATGTGTTTCTAAAAATATGATCCGTAAATATGCAATGTTCAGTATGATATGTTAAAAATTATTAATTGATTAATCACTCGACATGTTGAAAATTCATTTTCCTTTTTGTTTTTAATGGGAATTTTATCGACTTTCCCAAAAAATTTGATCAATCTTGAGTATGATATCAATATGCAATGTAACATTTTGTTTCCTTTCAAGTAATTCTACAATACAAATTATCGCATTGTAGATTCATTAAAACTCGTGATTTATTTACTTTTTTTCTTGCCAATAGTTGTTGATAAAAAAAAATATCAACTTCTTAGTATGTGAA